AGCTCGGACGTGGATCACTGGCCTGAAGTACTTGATGGCTGGGATTAGCGATGAAGACAGCCTGTCAAAGCGTCAGAGGACTAGAGACCAGTATCCTTCAGTGGAGGGCAGGGGGGTGATGCACTGTTGGCCATGCAGTTTTGATGGGCACCTTGAACACGAGTTCTTCGGCACCTCCCCTCCCCTTTCATCCTCACTTCTGTTTCCCCTGCCCATTTCCTTTTTCTCTTTGGGCCCAACCCACACCATCACCCAGAGGAGAAAAGGGCAAAGCAAGGGAAAGATGTTGCTTCCTTTCCACATTCCTATCCCTGCCAACAGTGTAGGTGAGCAGAGAGTGACATTAAATCACTGGCAACTAAGTCCTGATCACAGTAGACCCATTGACACAAATGGACCTAAGTTAGCCATTTCTGTTAATTTCGAAGAGTCTACTCTGAGTGGCACTAACATTGGTCACAGCTCATTGTATTGTTGGAGGATCATTTTAGGAATTCTGTACTGCACACACTGCTACTTCATTTAGTTTTATCTGCCTGTATTTTATAATGAGATTAAGGAATGTCATCATCATCATCATAAACAGCAGCAGCAGCAGCAACCTCAGTGCACAGACAAGAGCAGAAGGGCGTAGGGTTGCGGCTTTTTGCAGTGAGCCCCTGGCTGGGACCTTGGGCTTGGCAGATGTCCAACAATGCCAAACCCTGACACTGTGTAACACAGGCAGTCAGGCGTGTTCTTCCTTTGAACCCCTCCCCTCAAATTTTTAAAAATATATTTTATATCCACCAAAGCCCACAATATATTGTGTTAGGGAAGAAGGACCATTACTTCATGGCAGGACACCTACTTTAGAAAGTCCCAAATCCTAACACTATCGGGTAAATCTTTTCTCAGGTAGCTAAGCTAGGAAGGACCTCCCTCTGTCCAAGGTCTTGGGGAGTCTCCCCAAGCAGCACTAGGCAAAATGGAGCAGTGGTCAAACAGCAACAGTTTGCTTGTCATGCCCACTGAATGGATGGTTCCATCTTGTGGCAGAAAGCTTGATCAGATGGCCTTCCACGATTTTATTTCTTCCTGATTTAAGTGCTCTGTGGTTTTTGAATCCCTTTATTTCTGTAGTCCCCGGGAAGCAGCCTTCATTCCATTCAGCATCTTCTCCTCTTTGCTTGCCATGGCAGAGTTGTCTCTTCTCTTTTCCTTGACTCCTGCTAAATGTGGTTGAAGCAAACCTTCGACGAAGCGGACAAAAATGGCGATGGCAGCCTGAGCATCAACGAGGTGCTCCAGCTGATGCATAAGCTGAACGTCAACCTACCCCGGCAGAAAGTCAAGCAGATGTTCAAGGTAAGGGCACTCCATTCACAGCCGCATCTCTACAAGGCAGACTGCAGGCACTCGGGGGCGATAAACTGCAATATAAACACTGAACAGACAGCTCCTTTCCCTGTTGGGCTCTTTTTATGGCTGCAGCCCTGGCAGACTTGTTTTTCTTCATCATTCCTACCACCAGATGTCCTCACTTTCATGTTTATAGTATGTTACTGGCATGCAAGTCACAAAGTGGCCACAGAAGGTGCGACCTTTATTCTCAGGCTTAACAGTGCCCCCCTGGGAGGTGGTTAGTTTCTAGAATTACCATCAATTTTTTGCATAGCACCAAGTGTCAAGATGAGGTTTGCAGGTTCCTGATTTGTCAGAACTTGGAGAACAGTTGAGGGAATGAACCACACTAACAATGATTGGGCTTTCCACCTCTGAAAAGCAGGAGTGCTCTCCCCTCCTGTGGGCTCCAGCAACTGGGATGCTTGTAACATCCAGAATCACAAGGGGAAGGATCTCTCTCCTCCACTCCTGGGTGCCTGCCTTCCAGCCTGCTTCTGCTCCTCGTCCTTCTTTCTCCTGCTCTGGCATCTAGGGCAGCAAAGTCATGCAAGATCTTCAGGAAGGTCCCATGACATGGAGAGACAGAAGCTGTCAGCGAGGCTTCAGAATTCAGAGCAGGAAGGGTAAATGTGGTGCAGAGAAGGCCTGTGGCATTCCACCTGAGCCAAAGCCCAGTGGGACAAAGGTGCTGGAAGGTGCTCAAGGATCCGGCTGGCTACATGGTGAACAGTGAGGCCTCAGACTGTTCCCAACTGGGGCACCCAAAAGGAATTGCCAGGTTGCATTTAGTGGGGGAATCGTGTGCAACACAACACCCTGAACGATCCAGTGGTTGTGGCTATTTGTGCTCAGGGTAAAAAGGGCTCGGGGACCTGGAGACCTGGCCTTTTGATGCACCTCTGTCCCTAGAAGCCCAACGCTTGCTATAGTGGCCTTGCATCCATCATCAGAGCTGCTGCATATTTCCTATTTGTTATGAGGGTGTCCGGAACACAAGGACCATCTGTTCCTCTGAAGTGTAGCCGCTGTGCTTAGCCTGTACCAATTTGTGCTCTTATGATGATAGGCTCTGCATCTGGTGGGGTGCGGGGGGTGGGGGGGTAGGAAATCTGCCACCAGGCATACAAGGGCTGCCTCTGAAGCCTGTCTCTGCAGTTTGGCCCTGACCTATTTTATAATTGAATGGGGGAAGATTAAAGCAACGCTGGCAACGTGCAGCGCTATTCAAACGTCTTGTTGCGTACTTCACAACGCTGCTGGGAATTCGGACTTTTGTGGTAGGTGAATGTGTATGTGTGTGTGTGTGTGTGGCTTCTGAAGTGCGCAGATTGCCTCAAAACAAGCCAATTCCCTGGCGTCAGCAGAATCTAAAAGTGTTGCTGGCACCAACAGAGATGCTGAGGGGTTGGGGGGGGGGAGGCAAGGAATAATTTTCCCCTCCTCAAATGCCCAAATCTGCCATTGTTTGTCCAGGTAAAGATGCTGCGCTCTGGAAGGAGAATGTGTATGTGTGTGCTGAGACTTAAAGGAGAAGGATTTCTCTTAAACAGCAGTTTTCACTTCCCCCGCAAAGCTGCTTTTGTTGATCCTTTTCAATTGATTTTCTTATATATAAAGCGGAGCTTCAGCAGCTCTGCCTGACATATCTGTTTTCCTTTGGTCTCGTTGCTAGAGCTTATTGCAGATGGAAGTTCTTTAAGTCTGCAAAGACGGCCTTGCTGGATTTGATCCTCTAGCCCGGGGTGAAGAACCTCAGGCTGAACGCAACCCCCCACCGCACACCTCCAGTCCTCTCTACCTGATACCCAAGACTCTGCACTAGTGATTTTGCCTTGCTGTAATGTGTTGTTGAATGGTGATGCTTGCTTGCTTGGAGGGTGGTGATTGGTGTGTCTTTGGCCACACCCACCATTGGTTTGCAACTTCGGAAACAATGTGACCCTCAAGCTGAAGAAGGTTCCCTGCTCAGTATAAGAAACCTGTGGCCCCAACCTCATTTTATGTGGCCCCTGACAACTTCCAAAGTGGCTCATTCATTTCTCCCTTGCTTCAGTTTCTTGCCTCTCTGGATCCTGTTTGTGTGTATTTAGTACACCAAAGTAAGAAATTGTTTTTAACTGCTTTCCAAGACAGCAGCTGTGCTGGTCTATTGCATTTCTTTTTAATCCCCAGCATACTTATTTCAGAGTTACCCCAATAAACTCAGTGAGACATACTACTGAGTAGACCTGCAAAGGATTGAGACTAGTAATATAATAATAATAATAATTTATTATTTAGTTTCCCCAGCCACTCTGGACAGCTCCCAACTGAATATTAAGAACACAATACAGCATTAAACATTAAAAACTTCCCAAACAGGGCTGCCTTCAGATGTCTTTTAAAAGTAAGATAGTTGCTTATTTCCTTGACATCTGATGGGAGCAGGCGTCACTACCGAGAAGGCCCTCTGCCTGGTTCCTTGTAACCTCACAGTGAAGGAACCGCCAGAAGGTGCTCGGTGCTGGACTACTAATCTGGACGTGGCTAAAGTTAAAACTGAAGCAGGGCAATCTTTTTCTGTGTTAGTTAATCTACAGCGCTTTTCTCCCCATCTGCTGTTGGCTCTGCAGTCTCCAACAGATTGTCCCAGGGAGCAGTGAAAGCTAGTCCATGAGTGTACCAAACAGGGCACTGCTTCACCAACCTCAAGTCTGCCCTCAACCCGACTCATGGGCTGGAAGTGACCGACCAAGCCCTTCCTGATCTGAACAGGAATTGGTTTCTGATTTCTACCCGATATGCAATATTCTCTTTCTCGTCTTCCTGATGTTGCCTGTAGTTGCTCTTGCTTCTGTCTCCCTGTTTCTGTGAGCTCCAAAAGCTTGCTTCTTACATCTTATTACTCTGAAATAGGGATGTTTTGGAAATTATGTCAGAAATGGGAGCATATATTGCTGTAATTTGCTGGCCTGTCTGAGGTCAGGAATGGAAATCACACAAGCAAATTTGAGCAGTATTCAACTATTGTCATGGTTGTTTTTAGTCTGCAAACATTATATAAATAATTGTGTTGCCCCCCCCACCTTGTTTTCGATGCTCCCCTTCCTTTGAAATGCATGGAGAATAATCGTGTTAGTTTCAGTCATAGCAGATAGCAAGATGAATAATGTGGGTTTTAGTGGAAGTCAATCTGTGGAGGAAAAGAAACAGGACTGAACAGGATGGGCACCTCTGCCTCTTTCCATCCCTTCTCTGAAACAACCCAAGCCTTGAACCTCTCACACATAATAGTTCTTTCACAATCTCTTCCTTGATTTCCCTTCCTTTATGCACAGACCCAAAGGCCTCTTTAAAAATTACCGCTGATGTGTAACACGACAGTGTTGTCTATTAAACTGTACAGAGCTTCAGAGGCTCCCATTGCATATGGACTTTATTAGCCTCCCCACACCATTAAGTTTCCTTCCAGCATACCCTGTTCATTTAATCATAGGGCCTGAACAGTATTGAGGCCACTAGAATCCAAAGGGGGAACTTGGAACATAGGAAGTTACCTTATTCGTCCATCTAGTTATATGCTGACTGACAATGATTCTCCAGCATTACAGACATGGGTCTTTCCTTGCCTAACCTGGAGATGCCAGATATTGAACCTGGGACCTTATGCATGCAAAGCAAATGCTCTACTGCTGAGCTACAAGTCTTCCTAACTCAAACTGCATCTCTGCTGTGAGCAGATCATGTTTAATAAACTGTCTTTTTTCACACACACTCCGTTTATGCTGTTCTAGCAAATACCAACCCTGCAGAGGTAGCAGCATGGAAAACTAAATATAAAACCCATTACAATCTGAGGATTAAGAAATGAAAATGCTCGCATCTGTAAAAAGAAATAGCGAGGGTGGAGGGTAACAAGAATTAAAAGGGAGAAACTAGAGGAATGGATATATGGATTATCACTAAGTGCCCATTAGAGCCTTTCAAATTAGCTCCATCGGTTCTCCAAAAGTGACTTTTTAGATTCATGGGAAAGCAGAATGTATGTTTCCCCTATAAAAATGCACTTGTGAACAATCCATGACAGTTTATATTAGAGCAGAATATAAACTGGTGTTTTGCTCAGGCTTTTGTATGTATCTATTTAGGAAGGCAAAGTCAGGTACTGATTGCGGGGAAGAATGGTTTTTCCAATTTATCCCCCTCCCACTTACTGGGATCCAGCTTCAGTTTATTGGTTCTCTTTCAGTCCATCACCAACCTGGTCCAGGACTTTCATGGCACCACCTAATTCAGATGGTCACACTCTACCAGCCCTCTACCAGGTAGTCCAGCAGGACAACCAAGGCCGGTTTGATCCCAAAACCAGACCTGAAGCTAAAAATGGATCAAGATAATTGGTACCTGTGTTTTCCCATTTCTGCATTAATCTGCTTTAAAAATAATAATAACCCACATTTACCGGTAAATCAGTATTTAAAACGTATTTTCTCTTAACACTTTTCTTCTAAATGTATTTCCTCTCCAAATTTGCACATTTAACATATTTTTTATTGTTCTTTGAGCCCCAGGACCAGGTCTCAACATTCTGAGAAGCACATAATTGAGTGGATAGTTATATACAAATCTGCACATTCGTCTGGGAGGGGAAGATCAGAACAGTTCATCCCAGAATTCATGAAGACCAAATTCCACAGGCATCCCTGCTTGTATAGACACTGGCCTAACTATCTTTTTTTGTGGTGCCATTCTTACATCAATCCTAAGAAACCACATGAAAGGATGGAATGAATGAGGGTTCAGTTTTAGAGCCAGGCACCCTTAGAAACGTAGATCCTTTCATTCAGCTGAATGGTTGCTATTAATTGAAGTCAGCTCAGTGTCTGGCTTTCAGCCCTGGCTCTACCTGGATTGGGGGTGGGGCGTTGAACGCTCTGCATGGTTCTTTATTTTCTTTCATTAATTCTCTGTCTGGCTTGACGAACATGAGAGACAGTTCACTTTTTAGTTCATTATTAGAAAACTTTCCGCAGATGATATTAGGGTGGTTTGGGTTCTTCCCCTCCCCTTTCTCTAGCTTGCCTGGTTTTCTTTAGCTATTAACCTCGTTGGAACTAAATCCACAGTGGGTGAAAATGAGACAAGGCACCATTGTGCAGTGGAGGCCCATGGAAAGTGAAAAGGGTATTGAAGTGGCTGGATATCTGTTAGCTGGGGAAAGTGCCACAGCTCAGTGACACTTCAGTTGGAAGGGATCTTAAGGTAAAGGACCCCTGACAGTTAAGTCCAGTTGTGGACGACTCTGGGGTTGCGGTGCTCATCTCGCTTTACTGGCCAAGGGAGCCGACGTTTGTCCACAGACGGTTTTTCCGGGTCATGTGGCCAGCATGACTAAGCTGCTTCTGGTGAAACCAGAGCAGCACACGGAAACACCATTTACCTTCCCGCCGGAGTGGTACCTATTTATCTACTTGCACTTTGACGTGCTTTCGAACTGCTAGGTTGGCTGGAGCAGGGACCGAGCAATGGGAGCTCACCGTGTTGTGGGGATTTGAACTGCTGACCTTCCGATCGGCAAGCCCTAGACTCAGTGGTTTAGACCACAGCGCCACCCGCTTCCAGTTGGAAGGGATCTTAGAAGCCATCTAGTCCAATCCTCCTTTCTCAACATAGGCTGTGCAATTCAGGGTACAACCAGAGCATCCCTGACAGATAGCTATCTAGCATCTGCTTAGATACCTCCAGTAAAGGAGTGCCCATCACCTTCTGATGCAGTCTTACTTTCCCACTGCCCAGCAACTCTTCCCATTAGGATGTTGCTCCTAAAGGTTTGGCAAAAAAACCTTCAATTTCCAGCAGTTTGACTTCGCCCCCAAAAGTGCATTTCTCCATTGTCTCCCAAGGCAGATGGATGCCAACTAACCACATTCTAGTCCAACCCACTGAGGCAACAGAGGCAAAATTAGTTCCATCCTGTATGCGGCAGCCATTCAGATATTTGAAGGCTACTCTAAAGCCTCCTGCTATTGTCTCATCTCAGTTCTAAACATGCTTGGCTCTTTCAACATTGTTCATCGGACTTGGCTTCCAGACCCCTCACTCTCCTCTGGGCATGCTCCCGTTGGCATTCAAACCTGGGCACTTTGTTCCAGATGTGGCCTGAACATCACAGACATTTTGCATGCAGAAGGTACCAGACTGAGTCCCTCACACCTCCAGCGAAAAGTATCTCAGGTGATGGCAGTAGCAGATGGTGTGGTGGGCAGAGGTGCCTATCTGACCTCCTGGCAGGTGATTCACTGCTGCTTACTGGGAGGGAGGTGGGGAGTGCAAATTCACCTAGGTGAGTCAACCCAGCAACCCTCCCTGCTTCTCCTTTTCCTGGTAAGCAGCAGCGACGTGGCTGCTGGGAAGCCAGGTATGTGCCCTTACCCCACCATCTTCTACTGGGGGATGGGAAGGGCCTCTGCCTGAGAACACTGCTTTTTGGTGCATCATACTGAGGCCTTGTTTGTGCATGCCTATTCATCACTTGATGCCTGCAGCCTCAAGCGATGACTTGCTTGTGTGAAAGGTCCATCACAGATGCAATGGCTCAGGTAGAGTATTTAATGACTCCTTTTCACAGCACTTCCAGTATCTGAAAGCAGATTCCTCCTGAGGTGGAATTTTGCTCCAAATTTTTTTTAGGAGCTCCACTGAAAGCCTTTGAGGGTGCTGGGTTGGTGATCTCTACCGTAGAATGAAGTCTGCATCTGTTGAGAGCTGCTGTCCGTGGTGCTGATTCCATATCATCTCCCAAGAGAAGTCAACAGAAATCTTTTTTTAAAAAAATGACAGCTTTTATGACAGCAGGCTGCAATGGGGGAATGGGAGCAGTATTTGGTGCTGCAGATGCCCGAGGTGTGAGTGAATGAGGAGGAGCTACAGCCATAGCTTACATTTTCTTTCTCCCTAACAACCCCACAAGGTTAGACTCAGCGACAGCAAATGACTGAATTTCAGCTAGTGATCCTCACGGCTGAGTACAGGATTTGAACTTGTGTCTCCTGGGAACAAGCTCAGCTCTCCGGCAACCACCACACTGGCTCTCCAACTGTTGGATTGTAATGGGAGAAGATCCAGCTTCATCTAAAGGGGGGGGGGGAAGGCCTCGTCTCTTTCGGGATACCTGTCAAATGGGGAAAAGGATAATTACCACCGACATGTGAAGGTTGCAGAGGATGGCAGGATGGATGGGTGATAGGGCTGTTGTACCACCAGTGTGTCCAACAGCCAGTCTTCCTACCTGGCATCATCTGCGCAAGTGACCCTACAACTGAGCCGTCAGCTCCTCAATACCTTGTTACATTGCCCAAAGACAACTTGACCATGTTTCACCCAATTAAGTGTCTGAAGCGGCAAGCCCTGAAGGCGGGCACTTAATTTTCTGTGCTTTGCCACATGACCCTTCCCTTAACTCTTTCTCTTGGCAGCCGCTTGGTTTTAATTGAAACTTCAGCAAGGCAAAGCTGCAGACTGAAGCGCTGCAGCCATGATCAGAACTGCACCCTCTGTTTGGGAGCTGACGATGCTCTGTCTGTTCTGGATGAATGGCTTATTTCTCTCCCCCCCCCCCATTATGCCCTCGAGCCCCCGTGCTGCATGTTTATTGACTCTGTTTGGTCTTCTCTGGTGGAACATGATGTAGATTTGCTCTCTTAGTGGAGCGAGCTTTGCGTATATCTGGCTTTGTTCTTTTTATTTCTTTTTTCATGTACCGAGGGCTTCTTTAGATGGGAGGAAATGGATCGGTTTTGACGTTTAAAAAAGTTGGCCTCTTTTGATGGTGTTTTTCCCCTCCCCCTTTTCTGCAGCATCCTTGATAATATTTTTGCAATATGCAAGGTTGAGCATATCCCTCTGAGCTTCTTAATGTAGTTACTTATTTATTGTTGAGTTGGTGGAGGCTTTTTGGGATGTAAGGATGGTGTGGGTGTTGTGTGAGTTATCCCTTATGTATAGTGATTGTGCTGTGAAAAAGAAGAGAATGTCTATGTGTTTGTGTGTTGAAACTTGCTGTATTTGGGAAACTAGTGCATCGTGGTAAGGACTTGCCTGGCATAAGAGCTGTGAGTGGCTGCTGGGATGAGGGCAGGATTGATACATTGCCCACAGCCCCTCAACACAGGAACATAAGACAAGCCTGCTGGATCAGACCAGTGGTCCATCTAGTCCATTATTCCATTTTCATAGCTTCCTGTCCTCAACCTTCCTTCCAAGTCCTCAGAAAGGAGCAGGTTCTGCTGTCCCTGGTGGGTAGAAATGGGAGAGAGATTAGATGACATTAGCATTTACAGGTGAACCTATCAAATTCACACTTTTCCAAAGCAATGCATGAGCAGAAATACACCCACCTTCAAAGTTCAAACTTCTCCAAAATTTGCAGTGCAGTTGTCCAGCCAAGTAATGTGTACAAAAATGCATATGCTAATGATAAGTGTCCATTAAACTATAAGGAGCGTCTCCACCCCCATAGTTCAACCTGGACACTGAGGTCCAGCACTGAGGGCCTTCTGGTGGTTCCCTCACTGTGAGAAGCCAGGTTACAGGGAAGCAGGCAAAGGACCTTCTCAGTAGTGGCGCCCGCCCTGTGGAACACCCTCCCATCAGAGGTCAAAGAAATAAACAACTATCTGACATTTAGAAGACATCTGAAGGCAGCCCTGTTTAGGGAAGTTTTTAATGACTGATGTTTTAATGTATTTTAAATATTTTGTTGGAAGCTGCCCAGAGTGGCTGCGGAAACCCAGCCAGATGGGAGGGGTATAAATATTATTATTATTATTATTATTATTATTATTATTATTATTATTATTATTTAGTGAAAATAGCATACAAAATGCTTTACATTAGAGGAAATTGCTTTGTAAAATAATTGTGTATTTGGAGAAATGTGTATATTAGGGCTGATGTGCATACTGATGTGGAAGTGTGGAGAACTGAGCGTGACATTGGAAAAATGAGAAAACAGATTTGACGAATTTGCCCATCCCTGGCCTGCACAGAGCCCTCCTCCACCACCGTGTGCCCAATTCTCCAATGATCCACCTCAATAACTTTACTCCTGGACATCTTAATCTATGCATGTCCACTGAGGTCTCCCTGTCTGTAGCATGAGACATCTTCCTTGGTAGATGGAGTATCTCCTTGAACAGTGCAACATCACTTTCCTAATCTTGCGTCAGATCATTAGCCAACTGGCTAACCAAGAACAGTGTGTGTGTGTGTGTGTGTGTGTGTGTGTGTAATCTGGTCAAAGTGCCATCTGATGAGACCCCTCCTGTATCAGGGAGTAGCAGTGAACAATACCAACACTCCAAGCCTGGCTTGGTGACACCCTTTTAATTTCCCACAGAGCCCTTGAGTGCCTGATATAGCAAGCACCAGGGCAAGTGACCCAGCTGGCTGTCTTGGGGACTACAGGGCAAGTGTTAGCACTTGTGGATCTTGCTTGGGTCTTGGCAAGTGCCTGGGGATACTATGTGCTGGTGTTGAGAACATGGGAGCATAAGAAGCTGCCTTATATTGAGTCAAACCATTGGTCCATCTAGCATTGGTCATTGGTGGTGACTGGCAGCAGCAGCTCTATGGGGTTTCAGAAAGGGCTTTCTCCTACCTGGAGATGCCAGGGATTGAACCTGACACATTCTGCATGCAAAGCAGATGCTCTGCCACTGAGCTATAAACCAGAGCCTGCTGGCCACACTGATGTGAGACTGGAGGGTAGGCTTCCTTGCAGCTTCCTGGGCCACCCCAGTGGATGGATACATTAGCCAGTCTGATATCTGCTTCAGGAGAAAAACCCAAGCCCTGGTTTCCCATGGGCTGGTTGCTTTTATTACTGGGCCACCACATTTTAAGGAGGACATCTTAGGCTAGATGGCCTAAAAAGGTTCTTTTCAACTCTTTGATTCTATACTAATCAACAAAGCTCCAAGTTGCTTTAATTTATTGTACAAGAAAGAGAAGGGGCATTAGGAACCTTTTGTGTTTAATGATGCTTATTTGTTACATAAGTGAGAGAGAGCTCTTGTATATTCTGGGGCACATCAAAAGCTTCAGTGTGTTGGAGTTGCTTGCTATTAAATGCCAGCAGATGCTAATGGAGTGTGAAGCTTTGCATAATGACAGCACTGAAAACAGAATCAGATGTTTTGCAGTCAAAGAAGGTGAATCAATGATCAGTAGGACGAGGGGGAAATGCCTAGCAGAAGCAACAAACGCAGTTAAAAGCTGCAATGAGAAATCCATTAATGCCCATTGATTTACATTTGTGAATTGCACAGACAAAAGTGAATTCCAGCCTGGTTGGAGATGGCAGCAGAGCTTGATTAAGAAGTGACCATCTTGGCAGCCCTGCAGATCTGCCAGAAATCTGTTTTTCCCCACAATAACACCCATCCCAGTTGAGACATCAAAAGCGGTGATTAGGAAATGCCGTAATTGGGGAGAAGTTCCCTCTTTGATGAAGAGGGCTAACTTAGATCTCCACTCAATATACAAGCATCTTTTTATAATTAGTGCGGTGACAAAACAGAACTAGGATAAAAGCATTTTAAAAGTTTGTGTACTCATATTATAATCCAGGAATATCTTTCCCAACCTGGTGCCCTCCAGTTGTTGTTAGGCAACTACTCCTATTAAGTGAGTTGTAGTCAAATATCTGGAGGGCATCAACATCTGGAGGGTAACATCTGGAGGGTAACATCTGGGGGAGGCTGGACTAGGGTGGGCTCATCAGAATATGGGTTCACCAGGAGGAACTTCAGAACCCATGTGCAAGGCCATGATTGAGGCCTGTCAAGTAATAATAAAGAAGAGGATGACTCTGAGCATGTACAGAATTATATTCCCTCACTACTTAATAACCACAACTATCCCAAATATATGTAAGATTGGAGTGGAGATTTCAAGATCAATGGATGCAGTTTCTATCCTGGGTTTATCCCTGTTGGGGCCAAACCACTGAATACATGTGAGGAGAGAAGGACCAGGCTGCTATTTCAACAGTTTTTTTGGGGTGGGGGAGCCTGCGGAAAGTCCACAGTAGATGCCCACAGTTCTGCAGAAAGAAATGGCATCCTTACTGTCCGCTGCCAGTTTTTACCAAGAATACCCTGGGAACACACCACATTCTAAAAGATGGGAACAACAGCCATTAGGAGGACCACTGAAAATGGTCAGCACTCCTGGGAGGGAAATAATCTGGTCCTCCCTCACCCTGGTGGGGTGCAAAAATCTGCCCCAGATTCACTACCTGCAAACTGCGGGGAGTGGGTGGGTAATTTTTGGAGCCATTTTCAGTCCCACTCTCCCCCCAGCACAACCCATTTTGGAAGTTAAATACTGGAATTCGTTCTTGGGCTATATAGGAACTGGGTTCGTTTTACTCTCCACGTAGCTTAGCATTCTAAACTTTGGCTGTAGTTGTTGGCCTGCTCATCGTGTTGCTTCTCAAGGGACAAGATGGAAGCCTGCTAATTGCAAATGTCCCTCTGTGCCACCAGGAGGCAGACACAGATGACAACCAAGGAACTTTGGACTTTGAAGAGTTCTGCGCCTTCTATAAGATGATGTCGACCCGCCGGGACCTGTATCTTCTCATGCTCACCTACAGCAACCACAAGGACTATTTGGATGTGGATGACCTCAAACGCTTCCTTGACACTGAGCAAAAGGTAAGCATTGGGGGTTCACTCCTCAATCTTTTCTAAGGGTGTGAGAAGGCATTGTTATGCCTCGCATTCGCTGCGTTACAGACCTGATTCCATTCCGCTGCAGTTGGAATGCCAACCAATGCAGAAACAGGGTGAACTGAATTTAAGCATGGGAAAATAAGAAACTGAAATCGACAGGTTTGTCAATGCCTAGGCATGACCCTGTCCAAACTTATGTGTTGTCACTTCCCAACTTCTCCCCTGGCAGGAAGGCTGGGATTTGGGTGGGAAGCTTGTGCAATGGAAGCAAGTAGCATCATGGCTTCCTTTAACCTTAAGAAAAGGGACAGGCTGGTCACCACCCTTCCGAAAAAGATTTCACATTTTCTGCTACAAAGTGAGCTTTGCAATGTCTGCTCCATTCTTCTCAGTGTGATTTTTTTTTTTTTTGCCTCCATTAAAATACATATTGAACACCAAAGTCACCTATGAAGAGAAGGTCACCCCTGAAGATCTGGGAACTTGTCCAAGCATTTGCAGACAAACATATAAATCATCTTGAGGCGTTTCTTTGGGGGGGGGGACCCTCCACAAACAGATCCTTCCAAATATTGATAGTCCCCAATAATGGCATGGATATTTGAGGGAGGAATAAGGAATAACTTGGTTTCTTCAGGACCATGTAGCTTGTTCGTTGAAACAATAATAAAGCATACAAACTGTAGTCCTCTTCTCTTGCAAATAAGACATATACCACTGTCCTACTCTCACCATGAATCCATGCCCACAAATTCCTGATGATGAAATACTTGTCTTTGGATGGCCTTCTGTTCAGCTTGGTGTGGGCAGGCTAACACTGGGGCAAATGGAGGACCGACCCACAACCTCAGTGCTGACTTTGGAATATAAAGCTTTTTACAAGTAGGGACCAGGATACCTGAAAGATCATCTCGCCCCTTATATAACCAAATCTATCACTACTCTCTGCAGAGGAGGGCCTTCTGCAGATGCCTTCTCACCAGGGAATACAGGAGAATATAGAATTCAGAATTTTACCGCTGTGGTACCTACTCTTTGTAATTGCTCCCATTTAATATTAGACAGGTTCCATCTTTATTTGTCTTTTTAGCACTTGCTGAAGACCTTCCTTTCCCAACAAGTCTTCTAAGTAGAGGTCTTACCGCATCAGCATTGGAATTGTTTTAAAGATGTTCTATGGTTGGTTTGGTTTTTTTCAATGGCTTGTGTGTTTGCTGCCCTGTGCTCCTTTGAGAAGAAGGCAGGATAGAAATTTAATAACTAAATACAATCATTATAGCTTACTTTTTGTGGGCTGCAGTCCACTTCATCAGTTAGTTACAGGTGTACATTTATACCATATGGCATGGATTGTAAACAGTGAAATCAGAGGAAGTTTTGTGGTTACCCAAATTCTGGGTATTTGCACTCAAAGACCAAAAAAATTAAAAATAATAATAAGAAGAAGAAGAGTTCAGATTTTTAGTTTGGGCAGACTTCACCACACTCAGCAGTCTTCTCCAGAAGAGCTTTCATTCTGGACTGGAACCTAATGGCAAGTATGCTTCTTCTTAATGCTCTCATAAAAACCCAAATACATTTGCCAGCTTTTAATCCTGGCATTTAAAGGCACTTTTTGATAATAAAACACTGAGTACCACCTAGCAGATCTGGCTTGCAGTTATTTATGCATTGCCAATTAAATGGCAGTCAACTAACATCACAGCTCTGTTGTAATGTTTGCACCGCACTATCAAATTTACGATTTTGTTTTCTGCATTACAAGAACTAAAAAACTAAAAAAAATATAAGCAAGGTCTTACACTTTTCTGCATTGCCGCATTTATATCTAGGCATGGCTGGATACTGATGAAAGGTGCCAGATCTTGTTTTCTAATGTTTGTGCAAAGCTCTCATAAAAAGCAAATAAACCTGCTGCTGTTTTTGCCTCTGGCAAAAATTAAGTGGCATATTCCCATACACAAAACCTTCCCAAGGCTTCTTGTGCCAGATAAGTGCATAAATATGATTTCAATAGGAAGAATGTTGGGTCTTTTGCTGCTTTATTGTAACATTTAGATTGGAGGCTGCGAATTCATTAACTTTGCATTGGTCTAAAAGCCAGGGGGTTTCCCCTCTCTAAACATGCACAGAACAATTCCAGCAAATTATCCATCTGAATTTAATAGTGGTGCCGGAAAATACTTCTTCTGCCCTACCTGCTGTAATTAATCTGAACAACTTGCTTAACCCCAAGATTTACATTTAAATGCCTGGAAACTGTGAAGCAATTATAGGCTTTCTCCAGCTAAGTTCTGTGCAGAGTAGGTCCATTGAAATTAATGAACCTTATTCACAGCTATCGATTAACTTCAAAGGGTCTTCTCTGAATAGGACTGGAGTTGGATGCAACTGTTTGATAGCAGTGCCTCTGAGCATGTCTAGAAATCCTTTCTCTCACCACTGAATATACAGAGCTGAACCTGGCTTCAAAAGTCGAGCAGTGGAATCCCCTCCCCCCAATAATCCAGGTTTTCTGCCATTCCTCTGTGGTGCATAAGTGCCCTGCGTTGGGCAGTGGGGACACCTTGCTGTGAGTTTTCTTCTCCACTCTCTTCCTAAAGAACTCTCCATCTGCTTTTTCATGGTCTGTTGGAGATTCTAAATGTGTCCTTTGCTCAGATGATAATCTTGTATTTGTGACTGCTGCCCTTCTAAACAAGTTAGCATTGGTTTCCGTGTCACTGGGCTATTGATCCCCCTAATGCTGAGAAGGGAGGGGGAATCGAATCTCGCTGCATGTTTGGGTCTGTGTAGATAATCATCAGGAGATACAGCAGGTGCTTTTACTTCCTGCTTTCCACATTTCTGAGGGACAGGCCCACCGAGTTTCTGCAGTCATGTGTGAACTAGTACAAAATGTCCCTCAGCCTTCTTTGCTTCCTTTAACCCCCCATTTGGGTCCGATGAGTTATTGACTTTGTTCTGCTCACCCCACTCTTCCTCACCCCCT